CCCTCCCCGGTTTCTCTGCAGGCGAGTACGTCGTCATGACCACGCACTTCCACCTCAAGAGGAAGATCGGGTACTTTGTGATCCAGACCTACCTGCCCTGCATCATGACTGTCATCCTGTCCCAGGTGTCCTTCTGGCTCAACAGGGAGTCTGTCCCTGCCCGCACGGTGTTTGGTGAGTCTGGGGGCACAGGGCATCCTCTCAGCTGGGAGAAAGGGAAATGGGAAGGGAAATGGGAAGGGAAATATTCTGAACATCAGAGCTGGGCTGCTCCAAGCCCTGGCAGCACGGCTGAAGCTGCTGACCATTCCCCAGGATTGCTTTCAGTATCATCCCAGTGCCCCTGCTCCCCCCGAATCGCTGCAAAAACACTCCTGGCCATGTCTCTGCTACAGGCCAAGCCGTAAATATGAGCAGTAATCAAGGTATTGATCATCTCATTATATGCATTTGGCTGTGCCTGCTTATCTGTGCTGGCTTTGGGGCTGAGCACAGGCAAGGTACACGGGGAAGCATTTCAAGCCCTACCTTTGAAATTGCTAATGTGCCCCTGGTCACAGCTCCAATAACGAGTTCCTGGGCTGAGGCAGCATAACTGCATGGTGAATAGAGTGTTGTTATTTCCTTCAGATCCTCTCTCCCAAGCAAAGTGCCAGGCTGGCACTGCACATATATTAATAGCTTTTACAAGCATTTAATAACAGAATTGCTTTGTGCTTTGCTGTCAAGACCTTTAGTTCAGGTTCTACACAGGCACACTCCCAGAGCAGGTGTGATGCTGCAGGACTGTACATCCTGGAAGTGACATTGCCCAGCAGATCCTGCTTCACAGAGAGGATTCTGGAAAAAAGTCCTCGAGCTGAGGGATATGTGGATGTGTGATTCCCTCCTGTGTTATCCTGAGAATTGCAGTGAAATAGGTTTCCTCAAGCAGCAGCTTGAGATTGAGCCGGAAAGAGCTGACTGAAAAATTAAAAACCTACCTGTGTGAAAAGTGTCTCTGCTCCCAAATTGCCCTGCTTTCCTATTAAGAAAGTAATGAGAACTACAATTGTTTAATCCTTTTTTTTTTCCTCGCCCCTCAGAAAGTATTGTCAACAATATTGAATTGAAACTGTTACATTACCAGGAGTGTGGCTTAAGGGAACTGAAAATTAGTCAATATTTTTATAATGTTTTTAATGCATTTTTAATTGAAAAGCACATTATTGGGGAAAATGGATGGTAATGGTTGCTTGCTTTAATGAAAAAAAGCTTTAAAAGGCATTTTGCAACAGATCATTTTTAAAAKATAAATCATTGTGAAATTTATTCTGATAACTGGGCCACTGACAGCAGGACCCAGGATCGCAGGTATCCATGCACTGGCATGGACAGGTCACAAGACATTATTTCCAAAATGCTGAGAGGACTGTATTGGATGAGTGGCTAGTTTCTGATCCTTCTTGAGGCTCCCAGCCATCTCGCTGTCCTTTTTACTGCTATTTTATTATTTTAATTTTATTCCAAAAACAACTAGAGGCTTCTCCATGGCATATTCACCCTGAGCTGGGTATAGCATCCTGCAGCTTACCCTGCCAGCAGGTGAGGAATTCAGTGCAGGTGTCTCCCTATGAGCTAGGGCCCTTATGGTGAGCAGAGATCTAGTCAGTGGAGTTTGGGAAGGTTAATCTCATCCTAATGAAGATATTTGCCATTCATTATACCCAAAACTGAACCAGAGGAAGTAACCTAACCAGAGGAAGCACTGAGTAACCTGAAGTTGGCTGTGATTTGAGCAGGGSTTGGACAAACTGTTGCCCAGAGAAGGTGTGGATGCCCCAAGGCTAGGCTGGAGGGAGYTTTGAGCACCGAGATGGTCTCTCAGGTCCCTTCCAGCCCAGCCATTCTGTGATTTTATGATTCTGTGAGCCTGTCCTCCTGCCAGCCTGGCCTGTTTTGTTACTCTGAGTTGCACTAAGGACCTGTTCTGGGTAAGACTCCCTTAATTACAGCGTGAATGTGCCTTAGGAGGCCGCTCCTAATTTTCCAAGAAGGGAGTTCAGCTGTTTTGAGAGAAACCGGTGAGAGAAACCCGACCTCACCCCGTCCTTGTGTCCTGCTGTGCCCCACAGGTGTCACCACGGTGCTYACCATGACCACACTAAGCATCAGCGCCAGAAACTCCTTACCCAAAGTGGCGTACGCGACGGCCATGGACTGGTTCATAGCCGTCTGTTATGCCTTTGTGTTTTCTGCGCTGATCGAGTTCGCCACCGTCAACTACTTCACCAAGCGCAGCTGGGCCTGGGATGGCAAGAAGGTGCTGGAGGCCCAGGAGATGAAGGTCAGCCGAGGCTGGGGGAGGGGGTGGGGGAGAAACGCTGCCCGAGGGAGCTGTGCCGGGCCCAGCAGTGGGTAACGTGCAGCCCCGCGCACTCGGGAGGCTGGATGCTACTCACTGCGTGCCCTGCTCAGCTCCTGACTGCAGCGGTTCTCCAGGGCTGGGGAGGAATGGCTGGGGCTGGTCAGTGTGCTTAGCTGGAGAGAAGCACCCAGGCATGGCTGCTGGCTCTTCCCCCTGCCCTCTGCACGGCTGTTTGCCAGAGGGAACGTGGGCGCATCCATGCTTTGGGCTCGCTCTGCTGGTGGCCTTGTGGCTTCTTTCTTCTCCCTCCAACCCAGAACCCAGCCCTCCCAAACTGATGAACCAAYCCAACTCAGCCCCCCAATCCCCATTCCTCACTCTAGCATGCCCAAAAAACCCAAACCTGCCCCGGGACACCCACTGAGCYGTGTCCCCTGGCCAGCTGTGACACTGGTACTGTTACCCACAGCTGCCGGCAGCTGCTGCTCTGKGAGCTCGGGCAGGGAAGGTGGGTGGGAAGCCAGCAATCACAAACAGCAACTGGCAGCAAATTAGTGCCTGGCATCACCCACATTCTCCCTCCCCAYTCGGGATCAGCCTCTCTGGCAGTTTCCTTCCTGACAGGCTCCACTACCCCTGCTCGTGCCCCCCTCCCTCTGAACTGATTTAATCTTGGCTGCGCAGAGAAATCGCTTACTGTAGCATGCTGCTCCTTGTTTATATTTATTGAATCAATTTGAAAATCAGCTTTGTCCTTGTTCTTGGTTCTGGAGCCTTTCTATTTTTCTCCTTTGCATTTTAATGTGTTGTTGGAAATCGTTGTGGGGCTGTGTGTTAAACACCTGACAGAACTGCAGCAACTTCTGGGAAGACAACAGCCAGTCATCTCTGTGCTGTGGAGGTCACCGAAGGTGAACAGAGCCATCACTGGGTGTTGAATGCCTCTSTCTTGTCTTTCTTGGACTCTCTCTATCTGTTTGCTTTTGCAGCTGTGGTCTGAGCAACAGACTTACGGCAGGAAGCGTCCAGAGGGGGTCAGGTCATGGTCTCCAACTTCCATCATGAACAATGATGCTAACCTGGTCTCTAGAGAGGAGAGGAGCCTTTCCCGAGTCATGGGCATGAGTGAAGAGTCAGGACAGGTCCTCAGAGCCGTGGTGTCCCTTTCAGGGATGGGCAAATCAGCACAAAGTCAGGATTCACACAGCCTTGGGCAATTATGTGAACTGGGCAGAAAAAGCAGTAAAGGCTCAAAAGCTTCAGTTTATCTTAGAAACAGCATGTTCCTCGATTTATTCACTGACCCAGCACTGCAAGACTAACAGTGCTGAAACAATAGAGTGAGAGCATGCAGAATGTTCCTGCACACGATAATCAAACAAGAAAACAAAACAGGACCAGGGATGTTTCAGAGGGGATGCTCTCCGCCAGTTTGCTGCAGTTGGTATCAGCCTGGAGAATCAGGAACGGCTCCGAATTTGCAGATGCTTTTTCAAGCTAACTCTGATCTTTGCTGAAGAAACAAACCCACTCCCAGTCTCCACAGCTCAGAGAGCTCCCTGAAGAGTGATGGGCTTTCAGGGAGCTTAGAAATATGATGTGTCAACATATTTGCTTTTCATCTTTATTCCAATGAGTATTTCCAAGCAGTGAATTTGCTACGCAATGGAGGTGCCTCACTGGCTCAGTTTCAGCCTTTATTTAGCTCTTTTTGAAACAATTGACAAGCCAGGTGGTTGAAACCACAAAAGAAAGAAGAGGCAGAAGAACAACTATTGGCATTTTAAAATGTTTGTATCAAGGTAAAACCACCAGTGACAAGCCCAGGCTSAGCCCTGGTCTCTGGAGATCCTTCTCCCCAGCCAAATGCAGTGTTCTTTATTGACRTGATGGCAAGGATCCTCACTCCAGGTTTGATTGCATGAACGTGGARAAAAATGAATTTGGGCAGCAGCAATGCTTTCCACTCCCTTTGGATGAAATGCCTACCAGGAAAAGCTGCTGGTTGCTGACAGACACTCCCAGTGTGCTCATTCTCTCTTTTTCCCCTTCAGCCAAACCATTGGTTTAGATGGGAACACTTGGGTTTTTTTTTCAGGCAGAATCTAAAATTCTGGGCTGATCTTGGTGGGTTGCTGGTCTCTGCATTAGAAAATCATGATGAGGTTCTGGCTATAGCCACAGTTGGTTCAAGCTGGGAGCTACTCTGCACATTCTCTGCAGTTATGCACATTCTCTGCAGTTCTGCAATGAAAAGCAGGCAGATATCATCATAGAGGTCACTAAAAACTCCCTTTAGCCTGTACTCTGATAAGATTTGATTAATATTTCTTGGACTCAGGGATTTTCCAAGCCTTTCCTGCTTGCCATCAGTTAATTGCTAATTGTAGATGAAATATTTCTTTTATTTTTCTATGTTAAAAGTGCAACCAGCCTAGAGGTGCAGATCAAACTGGAGAGAGGTATTTGGGTCTAATGTGGAAAACTTGTTAGGAAAGGTGATTTAAAAAAAAAAATCATCAGGAGGAAGGTGTGAGATGGCAGAGAGGTGCCATGAGATGAGTGAGAGGCCAAAGAGATTGAAAGATGAATGGTTTCAGGAGCCAGCAAAGCTCCCTATCTCCAGCATCCTCAGAATACCTTGTTGAAAGGATCCACTGCAGAACAGAAGAGCTGTGTGTGAACAGAGAGATCCATCCACCATCCCAGCCATGGGGATGCCACCTCTGGAGCCAGCAAGGTCATTTCTGGAGTGGCTGTGGCAGTGAGGATCTGAAGAGAAAACAAGCAATGGTGACTTTGCTGCTGGGAAACTGCAAAGATGGCATTTACCAGTGAGTTTAACCACAAAAAAAAAGTGTTTTCTGTTCCTTTGGATTCTTGGAAGACACTTGAACCCACTTCTGTCTGCAATGCCGTGTCTGTGCATGAAAACTGATCTAGCTCTGTATCTGTGCCTGAATGGCATTGCCCTGAAATTCTGGGTGTCAAGGAGCAGCAAAACTCGTACAARTATCTGCACCAGACACATGGAAACAGGGAAGAACACACTTTGGATGGAGCAATAATCCTGGATATTTATTTTTGTCTTAACACAATAGTTCTTCAGTGCATGGTGAGGTTAGGTCCTGGCTTTTTATGTACTTTTAACTAAGAAAAACATGCCTGAGGTGCCTTTTCTACTGACTGGGTAAAACCTGGCTTTTTGCCCARCCTTCTCTTCAGCAATTCTCAAGTTTGCCCTTGCATCCAGCTCTCTTGGGAGTCCTTTATCTTTCTCCTTTGTTTCTTTCCATTTCTGGCATCTTTGTTACAATCCTAGAGGAACTGGAACCAGCCTTGCCAGGCCACCATTTCCAAATGGGTTGAAGTCTTTAGGACTTCAGACTCTTCTCTTTTTTGTCTGCCTCACTGTGGTCAGTGTGTTTTTGCTGGGACTACCCCTTGCTGGCCATGCTCTGCAGCCCGTGTGTCCTTCATCCCTCTGCRCTTGCAGTCACTTGTAGCTCTCCATGATTTCCATGGTGATCTCAGAAGTCTTTTCCAACCTAATTGATGACACTGCAAGTGATTTATGTTCTCAGCACCTCCACTACAGTCCATGAATCATTCCTCAGCAGCATTTCACCCTCATTCTCTCATCYCTTAGCGGTGTTTTGGGCTGACTGTTGACTCCATCCAACCTTCCAGCCTCTTTGGTGATCAGGGAGCATCWGATCATTGGGCTCAGTCCCTAAAATCTCAAGGATCAAGTCTCTGGCACACTGCAGGGGAATTTTGGCTGGTGTGAGGAAGGAGTGACACCKTTGCTGGAGCAGCAGCTGTAGTTGCTGGGCTGTGAGTTATGGGATGTAAATATGTCAGAGACTGGAGCTGCATGGGGATCATTAAAGTGACTTTTCTCTGGAATAACAAGTGGCAAATACTTGGATTTCTCAAGTTCTGCAGGTATTGGTGACCTTAAGGCTTGCCTGTGAGAGAAATAGGGCTTCCAATCCAAATTTCTAGCCAAGGAGCAGGTACAGAGAGCTAAATCTCAAGCAAACCATAGGCAGAACTGCTATGCCCTATAATTTASATGTTCAGTTGTTAGTTCCTCAGCAGAGTGGCTTGAAGACAAGAATATTTAGCAAAACCACTATTATTTTCCAGTATGTGTGTTGTTGAGCTTGTCAGACTGCACTATCCAGGGAACAGATTTATCTCTAGACCAGATTTCACAGCTTTTCCCTCAGGAGAGCAGCACAGGGACATCTTTGTGTAGCAATTCAGTCTCCCTGTGCCTCAACGGGGCCCTAAGTGCAGGAATTGCTTTGCAAAAGAGATGTTTTAAATAGGACAAGTTTTCAAAGCTTGTGGGGATTCCTCCTGTTTAYCCACTCCTTCCTTCTGTTTCAGGAGGATGTGGAACTCCTCACAGATAAAGGTGCAGGGTGAAGGCTGGGGGCTCCTTTGCAGCCGACAGCAACAAGAATGTTTTGCTTTGTTTGATTGTCAGAATCCTGCTGAGGCACTGATTTATAAAGCACAGCCCAGCAAACAGRCTGAACCATTTCTTCTGACACCTCAGGGTCAGAATACACCCAGGGCTCATCTTGGTGTAGGCAGTGTGGGTGTTCTGGTGCTCCCAGCTCTGACCAGGGCAGAAGACTCCATAGGGTAATTGGGAAAAGGTCCTGGCTGTAGGTTCCCAATCTTCTTCATTACCTGAACAGCCTGATCTGAGGTCCAGGGAATCCCAAATTAATGCCTGGGGACTCTGGATCACCGTAGTAGGAGCAGTAACTTTCTGTCACCACCCACAGCATCCAGATTTGCCTGACTTTACTCCAGTTCAGCTGTTTTCARCTGTTTTCAGCTGATTTCAGGCACAATGGATCTACTTTCCAAATGCYGGACAGGGTTGAAAATGTCATTTCACTTGTATCCATCTTACTCCCCTAATGAATAACATGGCTGATTAATACTAAGATAATCACAGTGCACTGCCAATTACGCTCTGCGAACAACAGTCTCTTTTTCATTTCATTACTGATTATTAATGATTTTATTGCCTCCTGTAGGTGTGTTAATAAGTAATCATACTTTAAGCATATTCAAGTGTTTTAATAGGTGAAACACCTTGAGCCCTTTACTTGTTTCTTTCCAGTTCTTTAGCTGGAAAAGTTCATCTGCTGTGCAGAGGGAGCATGGCTTTAATGACTTCAGAATCAGACTCAGTTAATTGTTAAAGACCATAACACCCTCCCCATAAAATACTGTGAATATGGTCCAAACGGTGGTTTAGTCTGGAGTCTGAAGGCATCTAGACCTTCTCCTAACAAGTTGATTTCTGTAATTACTGGCATTATTACAAGGCTGCCTGGCTATGGTGTTATTGGAGAGGGGTTTAAAGATTGCACAGGTCTACTTTTACTGTCCCTCTGAAAATCACTGTGGAAAATTCATTTCCTAAGGTAACCAGGAATATCCATGGTGATTGYAGACAGGTTTAAAATGAGAGTACAGCACTGAAAGCTGCAGCCCTGGGACTGTCTCTGCAGAGCAGAGGCTGGGCAGATCWGGCTCCCAGTGCTACCCAGCCCCCAGGCTCAGGGAGGAGAGGGACAGGTCCTGCTGGCTCCTTGGAGACCTGGATGGCTTTACAACACACTGTAGCTGATCTCAGGTCCCTGCCAGCAGCAGAAGATCCCCAGAGTGGGGGCAACCCCTACCACAACTCCCTAGGTCCACCTTCCTGCCCACCCATGCTCATGAACACCTGGGCTGTCTGTCTCCAGCACTTTCCTTCAGCCTTCAGTGCATCACATCTGACACACGGGGGCTTCTCTTGTCATYCTCTCTGCAGCTCGGATGCTGTCCCCCAGAGCCCTGTGGGAGGGATTCACTCACCTCCCGTTGTTTTCAGCAGCCYTTAGGTATGAAGACAGAAGGAAAGGCTTCCCTCTGCCCTGTAGTGCTGTGTCGAGCATTCCTGAAATGCTGGTGCAAATGCCTTCCATCTGTTCTGTACCTTACCTGGATAGGTTGTGAGGTGCTCTAAAGGTTCCAGAAGCATTTTGAACATCGTGGTGTTAAATTGTAAGGTGTTCCTGTGAGGAACTCGAGGCACTGAGGAAATGTGCGATTCAGCATTGAAATATGGTGCAAAAATACTGCGATGCTGTTGCCCTTATCCTTTAAAGCCACTGGCTTTCTGCCACAAAAAAAAAAAAAAAAAAGAAAAAGAAAAAAACAGACCTGTAATCCTGCGTGCTGTGTCCTCCTCTCACCTGACCCAGGAAGCAGCCAGCCAAGCAGAAAATCCAGTTCTTCCCCAAGGATGGCCACACGGGGTGTCATTCCTTTTTGCCATTCTTCTTTCACAAGGTACCTCCCTCCCTTCTCCGTCTCCTGCTCCTCACACCTTCCTCCACCTTCTCACCCGGACAAGCAGGTAAAACTCACAGGACAAAACATTCTCTGTGCRATTCTCTGCCACTTCATCTCTGTTATGTTTTGTTTTGTTTTTTTTTTCTTTTCTTCCCCCTTCCACCTCCCCTAGAAAAAAGAGCCGGTGGCRCTGGCGAAGAAAACCAACAACACCTACAACATCGTGGGCACCACGTACGCGCTGAACATCGCCAAGGAGCCCGGCCTGCCCACCATCTCCAAGAGCGCTGCTGCCACTGCCACCGCCACCAGCGTGCCCCCCAAGGTGCCCCGGCTGGAGGAGAAGCTCCCCGAGAGCAAGAAAACCTACAACAGCGTCAGCAAGGTAGACAAGATGTCCCGCATCGTCTTCCCAGTGCTCTTTGCCATTTTCAACTTGGTCTACTGGGCCACCTATGTGAACCGGGAGTCAGCTATCAAGGGAATGATCCCCAAACAATAAAACCGGTCACACAAACCTTCCATCAGTGAGCGTCATCCCAGCAGGAATTCTCCAGGGCTTTCTTCTTTCTTTGTTTTGTTTAATTATTATTGTTCATTTGATATTATTATTATTATTATTATTATTATTATTACTATTAGGTCACTCTTTTATAATGTAAACGAAACTGTGATTTTAATTTAATCCCATATACTTCAGTTTCATTTATTTTGATGATGAAAGTTAAAAAAAAAAAAAAAAGGGATCATAACAAGTTGTGCCTCTTAACATCTTAAGTCTGTTGTCACCATGTGCTGCCATCTCTGCCACCTCCTGTGGTCCCCATGGTCTTCATGCCTGTGCCATTTCATGCTGTGCCCAGGGGCTGCTGCCCTGGGGCTCCTCCTCCTCCTCTGTGATGGACTGCCCTAGCATGGGGATGCTCCTGGACCTCCAGGGTGTGTCAGTCACTAGCCAGGCTCCTCTTCAGTGCCTGGCACTTCATTCTGGGCCGTACACCTGGGCTGTGAGTGCAGGTGAGCTGCTCACCTGTGGGGACAAGGGAGCAGTGTGGCATGGGCCAGCTCACGGCCCAGCACCTGCTGGGGCAAACCCTCCACTGCAKGGGGATCAGGGTGGCAGCGTGGTGTAGGTGTTGCAGGTCTTACTCCTCTCTGTCCTCAGGAAAGCCAGCTGGTTCCCTCCCTCCAGGCAGGAATAGTCTGTCTGCCATCCTGCCCTCTTGGGGCAGTTTGTGTCCATGGGCAGGGGGTTCCCACCACAGGAAATCTTTGTTCTCAGCATCAGTCAGGAATCAGGACAGAAGCTTTGCCAAGCCTTGGAGGCCACGGGAGCTGTGAGGCTGCCTGAATTCAGCACCAGGACTGGAAAGCACAGAGTTCACCTTCAGATGGATGGTTTATCTCTTGGCCCTTTCCACTTCTTCTCAGCAGATTCTCTCTGTCCCAGTCCCTTTTTCCAGCTTCCCATCCATCTTCCTCTGGCTCCCCAGCAGCCCTCAGTGGTATCTCACTGCTCACACRTGGATTTAGGCAGGGAAGCTCCCACCTCTCAGGAAAGCCCCTCTGATGGGGAGGAGCACAGCCCAGGGAAGTGAGCCCATGGTGCATCCCTGCTCTGGTGCAGCATGTAGGACCTGCCACGGGCCATTCTGCCATCTGTGGGGATAAGGCAGGGGACAGATGGTCCCCAAGGCCCTCCCTGCCCTTACTAAGCCAGTGCATCCTCAGCACCCTGGGAAACAGCAGAAGGGGCCCTTTGGAAGAGCAGGGTGACACTGCTGTCCCATAGAGCTGTGTGAGCCAGGTGCCATCCCACAGAGCCCCTGAGGTCGTTCCCAATCTCACACCTCACACTCTTCCAAGGAGAGCCCCCAATGCCTTGCAGAGAGGCCTTTTCTCCCTTCCTGTCCCCCACAGTCAAGGCCCCAGAGCAGGGGTTGTCCCCTCTCAGCAGCTGCCCCAGGTGGTGACACTCAAGCCTTCTGTCCTGGACCCGTGGGCACGCTGTCCTGCYACAAGGCCATCCCCTGGCTGATGACTCCTTGTCCCCAGCCCGTGGCTAGCACAGTCCTGCTGCCACAGGGAGGATGTCCCCCTCCTCCCTCTGACCCTCAGGCTGCCTCCCAGCACATTTGGGGCTCCTGCAGCCAGGCCATGGCCCCAGCACCCCAGGGTGATGCCTTCAGCACTGCTCTGAGCCCCTGTGCCCTGTGTAGCTCCCCTTGCCCGGGCAGGAGCGGGGCTGAGCACGAGGCACAGCATTTCCCCACCTGGAATATCCATGGGGGCGGCAGGACGGAGCGAGGAAGGCCAGGGCACCTTGTCCTGTGGCACCAGTACATGTCCTGCCTGTCCCTTAGCAGTCTCAGCGGCTCAGCAGCAGTGCAGCCACTCCCCCTGCCCCAGCTGAAGTTTGGAGGGCATTTTGGAGCTGTTTAACCCAGTCCTGGTGTGTTGGCTCCACAGGCACATCCCCACCACTGGCAGCATCGGGGAAGAGGCCCCAGAGCCCACCCAACTGATGCTGAGGAAGCCAGCTGTGCCCACACCTCTGTCACAGCATCCACACCCCAAACSGTGAYATTTCTGCAGTGCCTTTCATCCCCAAGGGCTGGCATGGCCCAGGAGCTCTGCCCCCCTGCCTGCAGCATCGGGGTGAGAGCAGAGGGAGGGTATCCCATCCCAGTCCTGCTGTGGGCAGGGGGCTGTTTTGGCACCTGGTTCTGCCTGCTCTGAGCCTCCTGCTGCTGCTGCAGCCACCCCACTGTGACATCCCAGCTGTCCCCAAGCCCCTCGCCCCCGAGGCACCCCTGCTCTGAGCTCCCCCCGGCCACCCTTCTGCTCCCTGGGCTCTCCAGTGGGAAGGGCTACAGCTCTTTGTTTTGGAAACATTTTCTTAAATSAGCCAGATGAAGGGTGTCTCATAAAACATTCATGTCACTGTAATACTCAGGCCTTAGTGAATGGAACAGGARCCCTACAACAAGCAAAACAAACACAATAAAATGGTCACAAAGGGTATGTTGTGTTTACTAATGGGATTACAGCAAGTTTAAGTACTGGATCCAGTGACTTAGCTGATTTAGCTGGCCCTGGTGGAGTCCTCTGCTAGCCTGGGAATTCCCCAAAATCCCTTCTGCCCCAAGAGCCAGGTGGGTGTCTGTTGGTGCCTGCTTTGTGGAGCTCTCTGTAAATTGTCAGGTGTTAYCAGCAGCCTCTCAGCACTGCCTTTGCTGCCTGCCCAGGGCCAGGTGGGCTCAGAGCTGTGGTGATGCTCAGGAGAGGGGCTGGGTCTCCCTGGAGTGCTGGACACAGCATTGGGGCAGTGCCTGAGCCTCCCTCCCTTCCTGCAGTGAACTGAGCGCTCTCGCTGAGCTGCCAGGGTGAATTCCTGCCTGTCCCTCCCCAGGACACTGCCCRCTGGTCTGGCTTGCCCGTGACACCCATCTGCTGGCTCATCTTTGCTCTTCCAAAAGCTTAGCCTGATAAAAGGCTGCCTTCCTGTGTCTGTGTGAGCACGCCTCGAAAGCCAAGTCTATTCCRAACCAAAGCCTGGCATGGGCTCCRAGTCTTTTTGCCAGCTGGAAGCAGAAATACCAGCATCCTTTGGTTAAAGACAACAAACCAAACAGGATTTCTAGTTTGGCTTCCAAGCAGGAAAGCATTTCGGGAAGATAGTTATAAATAAGTGGTTTAACATCTCCTGCCAGCAGACATCACAGAGAAGATAATGTTCTTTTTTTATAAAACTGACAGTGACTCAAATTAGGACTTTTCCTTCCCAGTTAACACCAGGCTGTTGATGGGGGCTTCTTCCAAGTGCTTGCCAGAGCTAATCTAGGATCAATTACTGGAGTTCAGGGCTTGCTGTGATTACGTAKAAGGGCTCCATTTTTATAACTGATCCTGCATAGAAATTTATCTGTATACAACAATTGATAATCTAATCCACAGTTGTGCAGAGAGTGGACACTCCATTTCACTGTAAACCTCAACGCTCCAGTGTGTCTTTTTCTCTCAAGGCCTGAACTTCGCTGACTTGATGAGAATCTCCCAGGCAGGAACTGGAAACCTTTGAGGGTGATAAAAATGCTCTGTTGTGCACTGCAGTTGTGCAGCTTGCACCACCTGGGAAACACAGTGTAGTCCCAGGCTGCAGTTGCATTCCTGCTGGAAATGTCAGAGGGACATTTTGGCACTGGCAGCTCACCCCTTCCCTTTTCTGAAACTGCACCTGGGCAGCAGAGAGCTCAGCCTGGGGAGCCAGGGATGGCTGATCTGGGGTCTCTCAGCAGGCAGGGACAGCAGCACTGAGAGCTCCCCTTTAGTGTCAGTGTGGAGCACATCCCCAGGAGGTGACAAGAGAGGGCTGGGACAGGGGTGCTCCTCAGTGCCACCCGTTCTCCTGAGGATTACCTTCTCAGAACATCTTGAAAGCTGCTCAAACATCACCAGCAGGCCTGTGACACTCAAGACAGAGCTTCCCTGCTCTCCTCTGTACACCCAGCTCAGCSTGAGCACAGCTGGCTGCCCCCCAGTCCCCCCTGTCCTGACCCTGCCAGCTCTGCAGGGTGGCACTGCAGGGTCCTGGTTGGTTTGCTGCAGGACATCCCTGTGCAAGCAGACCCCAGGCCTGCTGTTCCCTGACAGGACTGTCCCCAGCCTGACCCTCAAGCCCACCCTGTGGACACCTGGTGCATCCATTTCTCATCCTCTGCCTTGATTTCTTCTGTCCACAGCTTGGATGCCTTTCAGCCATCCCTTGGGGAGGATGAATCACCCCAGGAGAGGATTTTTCCTGTTGCAGGTCACCTCTCCTAGAGAGACCCTCTGTTCTGCTGAGAACCTCTCTGAGACCTCCAGAAACCTGGCACTGTGGCCTSTTCCAGAGGATCCAGGAGGTTCTACAGCACAGAGGGTGCTCTCCCAACAGGATTTCCTTGGGAAAGCTTTGTCAGGGATGTGCTCCTGCCCGCTTTCCACATTCTTGGTCCTGGGGGTGGTGGCCAGCTGGCATGGGGTCGTGGGGTTGGGCTGTCACAGCATGCAGTGTCAGGTCAGCCCCTGCTCCAGGCCCTCTTCCCCAAATTCTGTCCCTCCCTGGGGTCACACTCCARCCCATCCCAACACACCTGGGTGGATGTGGCAGATTGGAGAGAAACATTTCCACAATTCCCATTGAGGGTGGGGAGGCTCAGACAGGACAAAGGACACATTGAYGGAAACATAAATGCTCTATTAATACTAAAGTAGGGAGAAAAAACATCCAAGCAGCTCACCAGTCGTCTCTCCGTATCAAGCTAAACTACTTGTGAAGGTAGTTTTGGCAAGA